GGGCGTGACGTCGTGGGAAGTGGTCAGCCGTTGGCCAGCCGGCACCGGTTGGGGGCGTGGCCTCCGCGGGGATCTCGGGCGCAGCGGCTCCGGCTCGGACAGAGAGGGGCGAGAGCCGGGCGGAGGGCGAGGACGGTTTCAGCGGCGCAGCCTCGCCTTTGCGCACTGGCCGCGAGAGGAAGCGAGGACGCCTTTCCACCCCGCTTCCGAGATTGCCCCGGTCATTTCTCGGCTCTGAATCCTCCGGCTGCCCGGGACGCCTCCTCCGAGCATCCGCGGTCTCGGATTTCCCAGCCTGCTTTCCACGTGCCGGCGAGAGCACCACGGGAGCGCTCCCCTCATCGCTCCATAACCTTCCTGCCAGGTTATGGTTCCTGATCACCAGACCGCCTTTCTTAATTTCTCCCTGCTGCAAAGGTCTTCCCCAGGAGCCCGCCCTTCTTCTAGCCGCCTTTCCTACCTGGATTCTCTTCATCCTGTTTCTGCTTCTCGATGTTTCTCCCCTTGAGTATCTTCTTTTTCCCTTCATCCTCTCCCGTGCTGGGTGGAAGAGAGCCACACAGAACCCTGATGGTGACACCTCTTTCTTCCTCGCTGTCACCCACCGTTCTTCTGGTCCTCCTGATAATGGACCTGCCTTCTCTGTTATAGTTGCCATTTCTTCTCCTTCCTCCTCCTCCACATCTCCTCCATTTGACATTCCAGTCCCTCACGTGGTACTTCTTTGGGCCTTCTGAGGACCTGGGGTGTGTCCCTCCTCCATGCCTCCTTAGATCCTTCAGCTGGCCCATCATCTTGGCTTTTTCTCCATTGGGTGGGTCTGGGTTATGCTACCTCTACAGTTTCTCTTTTCTCTTCCAGCTCCCTTGACCCCAGTAATGGAGTTTCTTCTTAGTGGGGTGGCTGCCTGTGGGGCTTGCCTCTTTACCAACCCCCTGGAGGTGGTGAAGACCCGGATGCAACTCCAAGGAGAACTACGTGCTCCTGGCACCTACACCCGCCATTATCGTAATGTCTTCCATGCCTTCTACACCATTGGACGGGTGGATGGGCTGGCAGCTCTCCAGCGAGGACTTTTGCCTGCTCTGTTCTATCAGTTCTGCTTTAACGGCATCCGTTTGGGCACCTACGGGATACTTGAATCGGCAGGCTACATCCACACGCTGGAAGGACGTGTCAGCCCGCTGCGGGCCACACTGGCAGGAGCTCTGGCTGGTGTCATGAGTGCCACTGTGAGCAGTCCCCTGTATTTGGTGGGTCTTAAGGACAGAAGCATTAGAATAACAAGGAAAGAGAAATGGTCTCAACCTACCTCTACCTGGGATCCAGGGATGGTGGGTGGAATTCTGCCTTCCAGAATCCAGAATCCAGAGACAAGAATTAATTTTGCAAATAAACCCAATCTGGGCTTTTTTAAAACAAAAGACTAGGGGTGTGGTAAAGCATGAATATATGGTCTGTGTATCTGTGTATGATATGATGAAGCTATTATTGCTGATTCCAGGGGAAACTTATTTTATCTTGTGGTTTTTTTCCCAGCAATTTTCAATTAATTCTTAGGAAAGATGGCCCAGTTTCCTTTCAGGATGGAGATTTTAATCTTTCTTGCTCTGAATTTTGGTTAGAAGGTGGATTTAAGTTTACTAGTGTTCTTGTCATTTTCCCCTCATATCCTATATTTTCATTTCTTTGAGACAAGTGTAAAATTAGTGTTATGAGGGATAGGGAATTCCTTCCCATATTCATGCTGCAGGCATTCTATTTTAGATCCACCCTAAGTTATAATCTGACACATTATCCTGAATTTCACCTGCATCATTTTTCCAGGACTGGCCAATAGCAGAAAGCTGCACGTTTATAAAGCTGAACCAGCTAAATGTTTTCTATTCATAACACTCAAAAAGCTTAAGGCAAGGACATAGAGTGTTTACCAGCAGTCCAGAAGTGGAGCCATGATCCAAACTAAGCCTTACTTGGGGGTGTTTGTTTTTTAATGGATGAAATGCATCTGCTGAGCCTTGCATTACCCCTAAACCCCCCAAACCCCAAAAGCAAATAGCCCTAAATTGATGAGGGTTTTTTTTAGCTCTGTCCATTTTGGGGGACACAGAGAAGGTGCTGGAGGACTTCATATGGCCCACAGACCACCATTATTCTAGCCCTGGTGTTGGGCTTCCTCAGACAGGCAGGACTGGAACCAATTAGGCGAATTCACAAAAACTTCTGGTAAGTAGTCTTTGTGAAGAAAAGTTAGCAAGCCGTAAGGAAAGACTTTTGGTGACTGCTGTGTTTTAAAAGCCTATAAAACAATAAACAAACCCTCACACCTCTTTCTCTTCTTCCTCTATGTCATTGTTGTTTCTCAATCTCAGCAGCTTTAAGATGAGTGGACTTCAATTCCCAGAATTCCCCAGCCAGCATGCTGGCTGGGGAATTCTGAGGGTTAAAATCCACTCATCTTAAAGCTGCTGAGATTGAGAAACACTGCCATATGTAATGGGCTGCCTGGTCCCTACTTTTGCATGGAACAGCTAATTTCCACCTGCCCCTTATTGTTGCAATGGTCAGATTTGCTATTATGCTGGTTTTCACCATCTGTGTGAAAACTCTTACCTCTGGCTTAAGGCAACTGGACACGAGCCTTTCACTGCTCTGATTAACATAACAAAACACCCTGCTTTGAAAGAGGGTAATGCATTGCCGGGAGAAATACAATCAATATTATTTTTGAATTCATTTTCTGACATGTTTCTTGGGAATGTGACTTTTCTCCAATCCTCTCTCCAGGTGAAGACTCACCTTCAGGCTCAGTCGGTTTCTGAGATTGCTGTAGGACATCAGTATAAGCACCAGGTAAGCTGATCTTACTCTGTACCTTATAATGAGAGAGTTGTATTTTGCTGAGGTAGAGCACTGGTTCCTTTGGATCTCACTGTACATTGTCAATCAGCAAGTTTGCAGGATTTCCAAAAAGGGTCTTTCTTAACCTTTCACAAAGGACATCTTTTCATGCAAGGCATGGCTCTTTGTATTATTGAACAGATTAACTAAAGGTCTGGTCCTTGTGGTTCTAAACAAAGGCCTTTTTAAAGCAGGAACTACAGAAAGGTACCTCACCCTGAAACAGGCCTTTTTGCACCACTGATTTAGTACTGAACACATTGCTCCATTGGCATCTTTTCCAGCGCTGTCCAAACATGCGTGAGACTGAACTTGAGATTTGTTCTACCACAAAATTATGGTCTCCCAATTTTGATTGTTGGTGGAGAAGGTTGTTCTGGCACACCAGCCCCTTTAAGAACACCTGGCCCACCTCTGTTTCCATGTGCTGAAGAGACAGTCTCCCAGCAATGGAAGTCGCTGGCAAACATTATTCCAGCAACTATCACGTTGCCCAACACTCTGTTCCCCTTGCAGGGTCCCCACAAAGCATTGTTAGGAATTCATTGGTGGTATGTCCTCAATGTCCAGAAGGATAGCAGATTCTAGAAATGGTTGGATGTCATTCTTTTTCCCTTCCTCCCTAAATCTGTCCTTTCCACTCCACATTGCACACCTAAAGAAAAACAACATTTGGTGCTGTGGCTTCTTAGAGACTAACCATTTTATTAAGGAGAAAGAAAATACATAGGGATCCTGGCCAGTTGTTAGCTTCGGCTCAGTCTTCGTAAGAACAGTAAAAGCATTGCCTATAAACAACCCCCCCCCCTTTTTTTGTTTTTTAATTCTAAAACTGTGTCAGCCCACTGAGGGTCTTGCGTGAGCTGGATTTTTCCCACAGGCTGTCAGTTGCTGAAATCTCAGCTCAGGAAGTTGTAAGCAGTCATCCTGGGTAACATTTTTCTCCATTCTATAGCAAATATTCCTACATTCCGTTGTTGGAAGTAGAGTGAGAAAATAAGGTTGCTATTTACAAGATCTTCATCAAATTGTACCAGACTCATTTGGAACCATTTCCAAGGGAAACCAGGTTAAGTATGGAGATTCTGCAACATCTCTACCCTATCCCTGATTATTCCTGCCGCAGAGCTTGGAAAACTGCCTGTCTGCATAGCTAATAGAAATTTAATAAATAAATAAATAAATAAATTGTGTTGAGGTGCATTGACCAAATAGCTTCCTGGATCTGTAAAATGTGCAGCTTCTAATCTCTTGCTAATACTCTCCTCTCAGAACTCATCTCTGGAGCAGGGGCGGTGTAAGAAATAGGATAGATTTACATGAGGAAAGATTTGTGTATAGATTCCTCTCCTGGGACTGAAGTGTTGAGTAATGCTGTGCCTTTCCCCTTGAGTCACTATTTTGCATCTGGCTGAAGATGATCCTGACAACTCAGGAATAAAGAAACTCAGGAATAAAGAAACCAACGTTGTTCCTGAAGGCATCTCGTTTTGCATTTTTCTTCAAAGGGAGTGCCCAGAAGTAGAGAGCGTATCTGAGGTGGGGTCTGACCAATGCAAAATATCACTGGCTGGTGGGAAGATCGATACTGCTCCCTCCACTTCATCTTGAACTGTGTATAGGCTTTTTATATAGAATTGTTACTAGTTATTTGAATATGGATATTTACATTTTTGTTGTTTTTATTGTCTCGGATTTTAATTGTAAGCCGCCCAGAGTCACCTTCTGGGGAAGATGGGCGGCACATAAACTTAATAAATAAACGCAATAAATAAATAGAAATAGGGCTGAGATAAGAGGTGTGTTTTCTTCTTAGATAATGCATGTCTGGGATGTAATAAGCATGATTTCAGAAGGTGTTTGCATTCGCTCTTGCTCGCTCTCTCTCCTGCAGGAGAAATTATTTCTTCCAAGACGTCTACAGGGTTTTGTTTTGTCAAGAATAGCTCAAATCCTGCTCACTCCTTTCTTCAAGCGGTCAAAATATTTTAACTGATGACTCCCAACCAGTTGGGTGCTGCAATGATTATAGACAGGGAGGCTTCTCAAGGTTATTAGTCCTTGTCCATATGTCTGTCCAGGGGATGTTCCATGCGTTTTGGAGGATCCACAAGGAGCACGGTGTGCTGGGGCTGTGGCGTGGGGCCATTTCTTCTGTGCCGCGAGTCATGGTGGGTTCCTCTACGCAGCTCTCCACCTTCTCCTTTTCCAAACAGTTCTTCAGCGGCCTTGAGGTATGCTGGGTGCACCTTTTCAGAGATGGCTTTCTTTGGGGGAGGGCTTGTTTGAAAAGTTGTAGGAGTCATAGTAGAAAACTTGGATTTGGGGTGGTGGTGATGGTGGAGTTTGGCGATCCAGGAGAGAAGCGAAATTGGAGCATGCATTTCATTTTGGAGCAATCCCAAAATATACTTTGTTTACGTGCCAAATTCATAGTAGCTTCCTTCTTGTTCTTTCCATCTCTGAACATTACATTTTTGTTTATTTATATTTCAAATTTGTCACTGCCCATCTCACTGTGGGGTAACTCTGGGCGGTTTGCAGTAAAAATAGAATAAATATTGATTAAAATAGATAAATATTAATTAAATAATTAGAATATGTTCAAAACACACTTCCTTTATAATACATCCAAGAGGCAGATTTAATTAGTTGTTAATAAGCTCAAGGCGCATCGTCAAGGCACCAGCCACCTGCAGGGTCGATTGTATCTTTCCTTGCCCCAGGCAAGTTGGCAGAGCCAAGTCTTCAATTCCCTCTGAAAAATTGGGAGGGTCAGGGCTCACCTCACCTCACCTCTGGGGGGAGAGTGTTCCATAGGCCGGGGGCAAATGGAGAGAAGGCTCTCCTCCTAGGACCCACCAGTCGACATTCTCTCACTGACGGGATCCGCAACATGACTTCTCTGCTGGACCGGGTGGGACAGGTCGATGTAATGGGGGTTTGATTTTGATCCCCCGTATGGCTGGCCGGGGGATTCTGGGAGTTGAAGTCCACACCTCTTAAAGTTCCCAAGGTTGAGAAACACTGGCCTAGTGTGAAGTGTGAACAGGATGCTGGAATGTTTCTGCCTCACTTCCTGGAGATTCTCCATGGGTCCCTTGTAGCTCTGTTTCTCCGGTGGGATAATCCCCCCATTCTTTCCAAATCCAAAGTTCTAGACAGGTGTGTTTTCGTCAAAAGGCTGCATTTCTCATGAGGGTTGATTCTCTGATGGATCCGGATTCCTGAGCTCCGACCTGCCTGGCTGTAGCTTCCAAAGCCGTTCTGTTAAGAGGCTCTGTGCCACCTCTTATCTTCCGCTACTTCTGCTCACTGACTCCCATCCTTTCCTCCTCTCCTCTCACCCCAGATCTTCCCTAAAGACAGCTGGCTGATTGCCTTGTGTGCCGGAATGACCAGCAGCTTCACCGTGGCCATCGCCATGACACCTTTTGATGTGGCCAGCACACGCCTCTATAACCAACCTGTTGGACCTGATGGCCAGGTAGGAAGGAAGAAGGTGGGAGAAGAGGTGGATGAAGCTGGAACCCTTATGGTTTGGCAAAAGGGTGAACTAAAGGAAAAGATGGGAATAATTGCCTGGAGTTGGGTTCATTAACTCGCTCATCCATCTCGTGACTTCCGCCAAGCTGTCACTCATTCAGCCCATTGATTTCAGTGGGATCCCCAGACACCTTAAAGACACCTTGCTTAAATCCACACCTTTGCTGTTAACCCTTTCTTGGTCCCCTTTTTTCAGTTTTAAATTTTCCAAACTGTCCCCCGTAGTGCCAAAGCAGTAACTATGCATTAGTCTGAAACCTATCTTCTCTCCTGCCCCTGTATCTGAGAACTGGGACCTTTTGTTAAGACTTTAGAAGAAATAAGATTCTATCAAAAGTAAAATGAGCTGTGCTGACTATAAGAGAACAACCCAAAGTCCCTATTAAAGGTTTAGAAAATGATGCAAAAAACTTCCAGATTTTTAAAATCACTTTGTCAGGCACCTGAGAAAGAGTTTGCAAACTCAACAGCTGGTTAAGTTGGTTCAATAAAAACGTTGGTGGAATAAAAGTAATGTTGCACAGCTTGGAAATAAGTTTTGGCTGTACACTTCCCTCACATACACCCAGATCATATACATATTTATCTGGAAGTCTCTGTATATAGTCAGGGTATAAATGTGCAGACTGCTGCAGATTTTATCTTACATTGTGTAATGTGAGAATAACCTTGAGAGACAGGAGGAAGAGCTGCAGTCTAGACACTGATTGGATAAGAGAAAGCTGAGTCCAGAGCAGGAATTGGAGTGGAGAAAGCATCTCAGAGCTACCCCTCCCTAGTTCTCTGGAATGGAAAGGCAGGGAAGGGGGAAGCACTTTCAGACTTGCAAGATTTGCTTACTGTAATCTTACAATAAAATTAGCATTAGTATTCCTGGTTCTGGTTTCCTGGGCTGGAGTACCTTGAAGGGCTGTCACCTCGATTAGATCACTTTTTAAAAATATCAGCTATTAGAAAAACAAATTCATCCCATGTTAATTAGGTTAACAGCTAATTTGCCGGGAAGGGGAGTTTTTGCAACTTTTCATCTCTTTGCTATTCCCCATCCAATGATTCTTCCTCCTTAATACCTTTTGGGAAGGGGGGAATTTTATCATTTTTTAAACGCCTACCGGTTTATGTTGAGTTTGTCTCTCCATACTCAGTTTTTTGCAAAAGCCTGCTTTGGGGTTTGTTTCTTTGTTTCTTAATGGCATAAGATTTCCAAAATGCAAGCCAGAACCTAAGGGAAAAGGGCGGTGGGGACAGGACACTGAAAACTAGAGGTGACCCAGGAAAATGGGGCGCTCTTATTCCCTGATAAGCTTGACCCCTTAACACGGTTTTCTTTTCTGCGTCAGGGTATGATGTACAAAAGCCTGCTAGATTGCCTGGCCAAAATCATCCGGATGGAGGGCTTCTGGGGGGTCTACAAAGGTGTAGGAGCTTCTTACTTCCGCATCGGGCCGCACACGATCCTCAGCCTTCTCTTCTGGGATCAGCTGCGCCACGTCAACCTCCACTGGCCGCAGGAGTGAAGCCGGTCGTGCGGGAGATGCCCACCGCAATTTCCACGTTGCTACTTCTCTCAGGGGGAGCCCAGACCTCCCCGTGAGTCAAGCCAGCCTCAGACATTTGAAGCCAGCAGGCTGGTGACTTCAGAGAAAGCTGTTGGTTGCCTCTTCCTTGCCCTCCGTCCCTTCATTTTTGGTCATTCCCACCTCTTGGTCCCCTTTCCTTACTATTGCTACAGATTGGGGAGAAGGTAATGTGCAAATCTTTCTCCTGCCCGGAACAGTAATACCACAATTGTAACTTCTGGGCCGAGGAGGCAAATGCATCACACCAGAACCTTTCCCAGACCTGAAGCTTGTGCAGGAGCATGCTTGGTCCAACCTGTGGTGAAGCGCCATCCGTCCACTGCAGAAGATGGACTTCTGTCTGCTTGATAATGGCCTCTGAGTCCCATCACCTAGGAGTACCTCCAAAAGCTTTACTGAGGACCCTTGTGGGGTCACTTCTATCCAGTCTGCAAAGTTACAGGGCTTTTGTAAAGGTTGAGAGAGAGGCCCCAAGTTTCTCGAACTGTTTCCATGGCAACCAAGGAGATCCACAGGTAGGCCTCACCTCGCCTTTGTCCATCTGTATTGCAACCAGCTAGCCTCTAGGTGGCGCTAGAGTGTCATCCCTCTCTAGGATTTCTTTTTCCCATTTTTTTCCCTTATGGAGAATTAAAACTACAATTCCATGGACCGAAGGTGAGGGATTAGGCAACACATGGTCTTCCTGCTACATATGGGAAAAACAGGCAGCTGCCCTAGGAGCAATCTAGCATTTTATTGCAGCGGGGACAATGGGAGGGAAACCATGTTTTCTCTCCCTGCCCAAAACATGGGCTTGCTCAACCCAAAGAAAAGTCAAAGCGAGAATTACCGCTCAGGTTTTATTCTGTGCATTTAGGGGTGGGACTTCTTTTGAGTATGCAGGCACTTCTTAAAATACCTTTCCTTAAAGGTAATACTAGCCAACCCACTGAGAGCCAACTCCCTTCCCTGCCCCTCCATTGTTTAGACACAATTCACTTCCTTTTTACAGAGTATTATGCAAACATTGCAGATTTTATTTATTTTAATCAAGCAGCAGACTTGAAACATGAAGGACCCAAATAAAAGGCAGGAGGCCGTTTACCCTTACGTGGGTGCTCCAATCCACATGGCAAATTCTTTAGACTGGACTTAGTACTGATGATGCTAAGATACAACGCATGGACACAAAACATAAATATGATGATTTCTAACTCACACATTTGAAAAAAAAACCCACAATCCTATATTTTCAAAGGGTGATCCTTTACTACTCCCAGCTGGCTTCTGTGTCACTTGACACTCAAGGACACAGTTTGGCATAAGTTTAACTGTACAATCAATCTCAGTTTTTGTGACAAAATGTGAAAAGCTTGGAAGAGTGGAAGAGATTGAATCTGGGAAAGAAAAAAAAAAGGAAGGAGCAAGGTCTATTATTACAGTCTTGCTTGAAGCAAATTTCCTTCTCCTCTTACCTTCTTTTCTTAATCATCAGAGCACAAAAAAGTTGCTGGCACGTGTCTAAAGTTTACAGCTTCCCCATTGCAAAGGGCTGCTGGCTACCCCAAATAAAAAGTATCTGTTTGGCAGTTTGTGGATGTCTAACTATTTCTATGATTCACACCCCTTCCATTACTGAAAGGTGTTAAAAACAGTTGTGAACGGTAGATAGCAATCTAGTGAGTCATCCTGGGGATGGTCGGTAATTCCAGTTTGCTTGGATAATGTGTAGAAGGACATTAGGAAATAGTTGGAGATGTGAGTAGAGCCATGCTTCCTACAGTCTAATGCGGTGTTTTTCAAACTTGACAACTTTAAGATGTGTGGACTTCAACTCCCAGAATTCCCCAGCCAGCCAAAGTTGTCAAGTTTGAAAAACACTGTTCTAATTCAATCTTAGAGCAAAGCAGGTTGCCATGAAACTGTTTTTTACAAAAGAATGTCCTTTGGCGTTCCACATCCACGTCTGTCTTTCCTTCTGGGGATGAGGGAAGAAGATCCAGATAACAGAGCCGGAGCGCTCATCCGAAGGTCTCTGAACCAAACGGCTCTGTGATCACAGCCACGATGGAGCAAAACTGAATTTCAGGCAACGTGAACGGAGATGTGTCCTAACCAAACAGACCCGGATCCAGAAGCCGCAGGCTCCGCGCAAAAGCATGGAAGTGCTCCACTGTCCAGGGAGGTTGAGAGGGTGCCAAGGGGACCTCTGTAGTTTGCACAGCGCTAGTGCTCAGAGGGCTGCCTCAGAAGAAAGAGGGAAAAGGGGTTGGTCACCATAGGGCAGAATTGCAAGACGTCAGCCAAACTCCACACACCACCAGCTGGCCACCTTGCAGTCTTCGGAGCCAGGCAGACCCCCAAATTATTCCCCACTTTGGGGGAGAAGGAGAGGGGAATTTAAAAGGGTTTGGCTGAAGAAACCTACTGCACATCTTTGAAAAACCCTCAACTCTCCCCAGGTTGAGCCAAGGCTGCATTTAAAATGCTCTACAAAGGTCGGTGTGGCCCTCGAGAAGTTAGAAGTTGAAGCTCTCTGCTGTGAGGGTATTCTTGATTTTGACTCCCCCAGTTTTTCCTATCTCTTCCCTTTCTCTCCTTCCCCCAGAGCAGTCAGTGGTAAAACCCTGTGGCAGGCAGAAGAGAGAATTCAGGCGCACTCACTTAATCCACGTGGGGTCATTGAAGGTGACAAGGAGATCCGTTCTGTACTGGGGGAGGCGTAGCAGAACCAAGTGAACAGTCACATCGTTTTTGGCCTGCGGACCAGAAAATGGTAACAAATTAATCAGGATCCAGGAAGCTTCCCATTTTGTACCAGCAGAGGATGAACACTGGCTTTTGAAATCATGAGGGATAGCATCTCTTTTAAAGAAAGGCACATACACAGGGAAGGGAACAATAACACCTCATCTGGAACTCTGTGTAAGCCAAGCAGGGCCATTCTGGCTAGTTCAACAGAATACGATGAAAACAGCTTTGTGTGATATGTGAACTGGATAAGTACCGGGGCAGAAAATGAATACATCTCTGTGTGTATATTTTATGCCCCTTTTCCCTCCCTTTCCTATGGCCCTCCAACCCACAGAACCACCATTCTTTCAAAGAATGTTTGAGGCAAGGCCCCCCAACTGGCAGGGGATGAGTCCAAACTGGTCACCCAGTGACCTCGCAACTCACCTCCTCGTTGAATTTGGCGACCTGTTGGCGACCCGTGAGCTGCCAGGCGCTGCTGCAGCCTTCGAAGGCCAGAAGATCAGGTGCAAAATGGTCTTGGCTCAAAATCTCTATACTGGCAGAATTGCCAGCAATGTCTTCAAAATGATACCTGGTGGGATGGGGTGGGTAAAAAAATGGGTCAGCGTCTCTCATTGACCCCCACTCCCCACGAGTCTCATGCTAAGAGGCTAACTTTATCCACAGCCTAGAACATCACAGGTCAACCCCTTTATAAAATCTCATAGGCTAACGTGGAGAAGCTGGAAATTAACCCTAGAAGCTTCTGTCTATCAAGCTGTCTACTCTAGCCCTGAGCTACGGCCATGCTTGTAGTTTTCTTCTTATCCTTCACGTCCCAAAAAATAAGCACTTGAACATATATATTTCTTGCAGTAATATCTAACCCAGTTTTTCTCAACCTTGGCCCCTTGAAGATGTGTGCCCTTCAACCCCCAGAATCCCCCAGCAATTGTGGATTTCGGGG